CTCTGATTCAGACTGGGCCAATGATATGACAGATGGACGGTCTGTTACAGGTTATTTGATATATCTTGGGCATAATTTAATCTCTTGGAGTACGGAAAAACAGAGTCGTGTCTCTCGCTCATCCACCGAGGCCGAGTACAGGGCCCTCTCGGCCGCAGCAGCAGAGGTGATGTGGATCACCTATTTGTTTGATATTTTGCAGATTAAGCTACCTCCTCCACACCTACTCTGCGACAACCAATCCACCATCTGCCTAACCAAGAATCCAGTGTTCCATAAACGCATGAAGCATGTCGGCACCGACTGTCACTTTGTACGCGAACAGGTAATTGCCGAAAAAATGACAGTCTCCTATGTTCCTTCCAGTGAGCAGTTAGCGGATCTTCTCACAAAGGCTCTCTCTTCACCACGCTACTCCACACTGGTTGCCAAGCTTCCTCTCGTTTCACGACGTTCAGCTTGAGGGGGGATGTTAGGCATATATGGCAAGAAGTGTAGTTATGGTAGAATTGTTATTTATGTTAGTTTCCATATTTGGTGAATCCTAATTCATGTAGGGATTCTCACCTATATAAACACCCATGTATACAATTATTCAGTTGAGTTGGATTACTAAATCAACAAGCATATTAGACATGCATCCAAACAATAAAATTTTAGACCTATAATACAGAACAATTATATTCAAATCATGTACAATTAAAATCTTGACAAAATGCCCTAGTATAATTACATACTCCATTTATATATAAATTTATCTTACAAAAATAAAGTATTTCAAAACTTATTTGAAACTTTGATGTACTAATATTAAACTTCTTTGAAACTTTAATATATTTTCTTGCAATATATGGTTAAAATTTAAAATAATTGATCACGAAAGTCAAACTCTAAAATTAATTTTAAGATGGATGGAGTTTTATTTATATCGGTATATATGCATGAACTTTAAATCCTACTCCGTATCATAAGAATTTACCAACCTAGAATTCAACATTTTTTCACCAAAAGTTCATTATTAGCAAATTTTAAGGTGACTAGGAGGTCATGTGACAGACACTAGACCTATACAAACAACGGTCGGTCTGTTCGGCCCGCCCAGCCCGGCCTTTAAAAATGACGGATATGGACAATCTTTAATAGCCAAATGGACGGACCGACCTAAGCCCGAATTGTATATGGGCGAATCTGGAAGTTACTTTTAGCCCATCTCGGCCAACAGGTCCACCCATATTCATCAAATATATTTACTTTATTATTAATTACTTAGCCAATATAAATTTTAAAAATTTCTATAATTCATGTATAATAGTTTAATTCACTCACCTCTTTTAAACAAAAATCAATACTCTTTTAATGAATCAGTATGATGAGTTTATTAATTATGCAACAATATCTCTATTATGTTTTCTATATAAATGTGGTGACTAGTAATTTTATTTTAAACATTAAAAAGAGTTCAATGTTTTTTTTAAATTTTTTGTACAAAATAAATTTTCTTGATGTTTTATCCGGGCCGGGCGGCCCGGTGGGCAGTCCGGCCCGCAAAGATGGGCGAGTATGGGTAAATAATTTAGCCCATCAAATACGAGCCGGGCTAGGCCTGCCCATGTAAATGGGTTAATAATTTATATTAAGCTCGGCCCAGATCCATCCCAGATCGTTATTTGCACAGATCTATGTGACACCATATTATAATTTCATAAATTAATGTTTTACTTTGACCCATTGTTTTTTGTTCTTTCACCTTTCCCATCTTTCCATTCCTTCTTCGATTTATTTATTTCTCTCGGGTCTATAACTTTTTTGTCATTTCACGTTAGTTTTTTTTTTTTAATCTGGAGGGGCTGCTCGCCCGACCCTCGCCCTATTCTTGCCCCGTTCTTGTTATGTTTTGGATCCGCCATTAATCACTAACATTGATCGAGATATATACTTCCTCCGTCCCAAAATAAACTTCCCTTTTTAACTTTTTTAAGATTTAAGAGATGGATATTTTTGTGTTGACTTTTCAAAAATACCCTTGATGTGATGTATAAAAGTAAGATATGATATGTAGATTATTAGTAAAAAGTATGATGTGATAGGTAGGGTATGAAAAAGTAAGGGGTAGAAAAGGTTTTTTAAGAGAAAAGAGAAGTTTATTTGGGGACAAAGAAAAAACGAAAGGGGAAGTTTATTTAGGGACGGAGGGAGTACTACGTAATATTCCCTCCGTTTCTAAAAAAATTTCTTTTTTCATTTTTTTAATTTTCTACAAAACACTTCCGCTTCTTATTAAAACCTACTTTTACACTACTTATCACATCATACTTTTTCACTAATAATCTATTCATCGCATCTTATTTTTAGCCATCACATCAAATGCAAAATTAGAAAGTTAACAACAAATAAACACTTCTCATTTCTCCCAAAAGTCAAAATAGGAATCGTTTTATGAAACAGATGGAGTACATATTTTAATTTATGCATTTGAATGTCTGGGTCTGCTCTGCTCCTTGCGGCCCTGCTAGTGGTGTATAAAGACCGGGTTGAACCCACAAACGAGAGCGGACCGTATCGGACCAAAATAGCCGATTCCAGATCGGTCCGAATTTCGATTGGTCCAGGTTCGTGTCCATGACTTTAAACCCGATAAAATTCAGGTGTATTATTCCGGTCCAGTCCCTGTTGGACCGGTAAAACTCGATTATGTTCTTAGCCCAAATTTAAACGGAGTACAATGTACTCCGTATTTCTTAAGTACTTAGCCCAAAATGGGTAGCAAATACATTTACTTCGATCCTGTTAATTAGAAAGTGTGCCTTGCACACTAGTCAGCCTTTTCTATCTTCATCCTTTCCATCGACGGTCTCAAAAGTCACATGTATTGTACGACATGACTTTTTTATTGTCTTAAAATTGATGTTTACTACATTTTCAATAATCCTGCTCCCATCTTACACCCCATATACCTATTCCCGGTCCCTTAAATCTCTGATTGGGACTACAATGAGATTATGAAGGCCTTATGCTCCTAAAATCTGAAATTCATTCCACTGTACTCAGGGGCGGATCTACATATATGTATGAATACGGGGGCAGTCGCCCCCAATCAACTTTTTTATTTTTACTCCGTAATGTGTGCTGTTAAAATAATTTTTTGTAGAAAACTAAAAGAATGATCCCGGTACAAAAATTAGTTTGCCCCACTGACAAAAGAAAATCTTATTTTAAAAGTAAAAACTAATCACTTAAACAAGATATACATGTAAAATATTTAAATTATCATAAATATATTATGTTATGACATGTTCCGTATATTATATTTTTTTTCTACTTTAATTAAATAATTTTTTCTTATATGAATACTTGTTTGAAATTAAATTTATTTTTTTATCATAATTGAATGTTTTAAAAAAATTAGGAGCGCTACACTGAACCCCACTATACTCTTTAGTGTGTGTTTGCCCCCTAGTCATATTATTTTCTGGATCCGCCACTGACTGTACTGGACCAACATACGTATGGTATCTCGCTGCCACTACAGAAGGAATCCATTTCAAAGGGAGCTCGTGCCTAATATGGAAGGGAGCCGATGCATAGGATCGGAGTTATGAGTTTCTGTCGTTGCTGGCACCAGATCGCTGTCGTCGTCTTGCATCCGTTTTGCTTTTTTTTGTGTGACTTTTTGTAGGTTTTTCCATTGAACACTGTCGACATTAATTAATGTTATTTTTCTTCGCAAATGCAAGGATGTTATATTCAATAATGTGAACATTCTTAAAACTCATGGGTGGCCAGGAGGGTGTGCAAAGTGGCCAATCGCACAGGGCCCCTAAAATTTTAGAGCCCCATATTTTTAAATTTGTTAATAATTTTAAAGAAAAAGTATTCTAAACAAATAAAATAGGACCCAAAATGTAAATTTAGAACCGGGCCAATTTTATTTTTTCAATTTTCGGGGCCTGCCCTGTTAAAACTGCATGTGTAGGGGTGGATATACAATATTGGTCCAATACGAATCCGGTTGTGGAACAGCAGGGTAGGTATCGGCACTCTATAAGTCGCGTAAGTACGTACTACAAGTAGAGGCGGTTCTGGTCCGGTACTAGACCAAAATACTGTATGCTAAGGAGTATATGAACAATACTCTCTCCGTCCCTAAATAAACTTCCTTTTTTTGACTTCTTGAGGATTTAAGAGAGTGATATTTTTGTGTTGACTTTCCAAAAATACCCTTGATGTCATGTGTAAAAATAAGATGTAATATGTAGATTATTAGTAAAAAGGTATGATGTGATAGGTAGGGTATAAAAAAGTAAAGGGTAAAAGTGGTTTTTTAAGGGAAAAGAGAAGTTTATTTGGGAACAGGGAAAAAACGAAAGGGGAAGTTTATTTAGGGACGGAGAGAGTATATACTACTTACTCTTATCCGTACAATAATCTATTGTACTCCCTTCGTCCCTAAATAAAGTTCCTCTTTCGTTTTTTCTTTGTCCCTAAATAAACTTCTCTTTTCCCCTAAAAACCTCTTTTACCCCTTACTTTTTCATACCCTACCTATCACATCATACCTTTTTACTAATAATCTAACTATCACATCTTACTTTTACACATCACATCAAGGGTATTTTTGGAAAGTCAACACAAAAATATCCCTCCCTTAAATCCTCAAAAAGTCAAAAATGGAACTTTATTTAGGGACGGAGGGAATATGCAATATCCATGCACTCATTGTGAATTTATATCTACCATATCTCATGCAGCATTGCAATTTGCAAACTACCCCTATATAACTTAAGTTTTAAATTTCACTTCCATGTATCCACCATATGAAATTTATTAGTTGGTGGTAACGCATAGAAAAAAGTTATGATATAGAAAAATCACAATATTAATTCATTAGTAAAAAAAAAGAGAACTTCATCGTGGGATGTCTAAAAAAGAAAAGCGAAAAATAACGATACAACGGAATTTAAACCATCCACTTCAATCTAAACCGTGTGTGTGTATGTATGTATGTGTGTGTGTGTTGTGTGTATATATATATATATATATATATATATATATATATATATATATATATATATATATATATATATATAATCTAAACGAACTTTTGACGCTTCATATTATTATCAAGCCCGTGATAATAATAAGAAGCATCATAAGCAGAAACATGTGGGAGAACCATTCGCTCGGGATGAATATATGGCAGCGACCAAATGTCGTTGACGTCTTGGAGGGGGTATGAATAGTCGTCAAGTATCATTAGAGATGGTGGAAAGGGAGGCCACTCTACTTTTTCTTGATGAGATTCAAGGTCTTGATCATATGTGAAATTAGATAGTAACATATGTCCAACATCATCCGACTGCTCCACCTTCATCTTCATCGACGCTTCATTATTATTTGAACCTTTATGTTGGGCATGATCTTCTACACGAGCTTCGTGCGTCGTAGTAATAGTAGTACTAGTAGCAGCAGCACTTAAGTGTAAAGGTTGTTGCTCTTGCAAGATCATATCCAACGTCGTCGTCCCATCATTACCACTATCATCCTGAGGATGATGAGAATCATTTGCAGTAATTGAAAGAATGGGTACTTTCTCCTCTTGTTGAATGAAATTCATCCCATCATTACCACTACCATCTTGATTAGGACAATCTTGATCATGATCCTTTACAAGAGCTTCATGCATAGTAGTAGTAGTACTAGTAGTAGCTGCAGCAGCACTCGGGAGTAAAGGTTGTTGCTCATTTGCATTATTTAGAAGAATGGGTTCTTTCTCCGCCTCTTGTTGGATCAAATTCTTCCCATCATTACCTTTATCATCTTGATCGGGATGATGTTGATCATTTGCAGCATGATCATTCACATGAGTTTCATGAGCAGCACTGGGATCTTGAAGAAGGGTTTTATAATATTGTTGATCCGCTGCAGCAACACCATGCTTTATGGGAGTATTTGGAGGGAGGAGTTGATCTGCAGGGTTGTGATCAGGAAGAAGATCTTGGTGAGGTACTTGTGGTTCCATAACAAAAGAGTTGCTCTTCATCATGTTCTTGTGATATATCTTCACCAAAGCATAGTCATCAGCCACCTGCTGCATTCATATACATATGCACCCACACAATTCCAAACAAAATGTTAGCATGCATGCATGCAAGTTTTATTGATGCTCACTAATATTTAATTAAAAAATGAATTTACCTAAATAACACTAAAACATAATGACTTTCTCTATATAGCATCAAATGTTTTTATGCTCCTAATGTAGCACTGTTAGTCATTATTCATTAGTCATTATTTAAGTAAATGTTCACCAAGACATTATTTCTCATTCTAGACATTATTAAGTGTAATCTAGAGAATAAAAAAGTTTAAGTCTAACATTGAGAAATGACTTATATTTTAATGATATTTAGTGCAAATATTTCTATTTTAAAAATACTATTATCCTCTTTTTATAGAACTTTTACCATATTTAATGCAATATTTCGATTATTACTATGTCTCTTTATATATTAACATACGTATTAATTACTTTCCCTTCTGAAAAAATTCTTCTCACTTTCACTTTTTTTTTTCAATTCCCAAATTAAACTTGTTCAACTTTCAATAATCAAAGTTTTCTTTTTAACCCTACAAATTATTACGGCAAATATATCGATCAGAATATATATCTATGCACTATGAATCTTTTCATGACATCTTATCTTAACCTAAATTAAAAGTAATAATGCTAAAATTTCGCATTTTTTGTAAATCCTACCCCATACCTTTTTTTAAGTGGAAAAATTTTAGGGTTTCGAAGGTGTTGTATATTACAAAAACATGATATTTGAAAATTTGTTACAAGTTTAATTAATACGGAGTATATAAAAATTTTATTGTAAAAAATATAACTCCGTGAATGAATTAATTACTTACCCCATTAGCCATATCGGCCGGAAGAGAATTAGGATTCAACGTATATTCTTGCATCAGCCAATCCGTCTTCACATTCTCCTGCGTGGTCCCTTGGTGGTACACAAGCGACCTCTTCCAACCCACGGTGGTGTCCCCCACCACCACCGCCTGATCGCCGGTGGTCGACTTCCAGAACCCCTTTCCGGTGGTCCTGGCCGTTCTTGTCCCATTAGGGTACTTCTTCTTCCTCGTCGTGAAGAAATAGCACGCGTTCTCTTTCGCCGTCACTCTGTACATCTCTGCATGGTAATATATTCACGTAAATTGAATTGAATTGAATTGATTGCATGGTTGAATTAATATAATTATTTGCTCCTCCATTTCTAAATAAATTTCTTGTTTCTTTTTTTTACGTATTTCATAATAGGGGCACTTGCCCCCAATAAAATTTTGTTTTTATTTAATTAATACTCCCTTCGTTTTTCAAAACGGTTCTTGTTTTAACTTTGAAGCAAAATAAGGAAAGTATAATTTTAGTTGACTTTCTAATTTTGCCCATGTGATAAAATAGTTTGACCCCAATGAAAAAAAATGTTCAAGTAGAAAAATGAATTATTTAATTTTTTTTTCAAACGAAAAAATTATTTAAACTTAGAGTATAGAAAATTTAAAAAATGAAAATTAAACTATAATATTACTAGAAGATATGTCTAAAATAAAAATTACAAGAGAAAGTAAAATTATAGAGAGTGCTTTTGAGATTTTTCGTTAATTATTTGATTGTTTTATTAAAAAAATTTTAAATTTACTTTGATTTAATAAAAAAACGGAGGTGCTATCCTCAAACTTTCTTACTAGTCGCTTCAAACCCTGGATCTACCGCTAGAGACTACACCATCTACAATAATTAAAATGTTTCCAAAATGACTTCTACACGTGAAGTTTTTTTAAAGATGGAAGGAGTATGTTATATTCTCATAAAATTAGAGAAAAAGAATTCGAAAAGAAAAAAAATTAATTAATAATTATGAATATATAGATATGATATGATGGATAGTTTAACTTACGATAAAGTTCAATGGGGCGAGACTCGTAGATGTTGAGGGTTCGAATCCTATTGGGAGGCATGGTTTGGTCAAGAATCTTTTTTCTCAGGTAATCCACCACCAGCTCCCCGTCCGTCGGCCGGAACCGGTAGCCGGAGGGTAGTTCGCTCAAGTACTTCTCCACCCGCTCGGGGGTCCACGGTGTCTCCGCCGCCATCGATCGAGGGAATAGCTACGGAGTATAATTAATGATTTCAGGTGAGTTTTGTTAAACACTCGATTGCCGGAAATAGACTGACGGCGCATGAGATACTGGACGAGTATTTATAACGGAAGCTAGGGTAATTAGCTTGCTTGCCACGTGTACACGTTAGTTTGTTAGGGGTTCAATCTTATTACAACTTTGATTGTTGCTAGGATTGGGATCATATTACAACAAAATAAAAATATATAATCATTCAATTCCATTAACATTCCGGTAGGAAAAGAAAAGGAAAGAGAGAGAGAGAGAAAATAAAGATAAAAATGACTAAGGGCCTGTTTGGGAAAAGCGTTAGCAATTAGCCTTAGCGTTTTGAAAAAGACTATCTACGGGCAGCGTTTAGCGTTTGCGTTTTTAAATTAATCTGCACCGTTAAAATTTTATCCAAAATGCTAACGCTAATCTCTAACGCTATTCCCAAACATAGCCTAAGGAAAAATGACTTTTGTTATACAGCCTAATATTTACGGTATGTATTTTTATTTAGAAAAAATAAACTCTAAGTACGCCACAAAATTTTTCTTCTTTCTTTTTTCATCCGTCCCAATAAATATTTCTCATTTTAATTAAAAAGTTACTTTCATCTCTACTAATTCTTAACCCACATATCACCTTCCATTTTTTACTAATAATCTATTTATCACATATATCTACTTTTACCTATCACATCCAAGGACAGTTTTAAAAAGTCAATACCAAAACACACTTATCTTAAACCTCTTAAAAATCAAAACTAGAAATGTTTTGTGGGACAGAAATGTTTTGTGGGACAGAGGGAGTATGCATGGTAGTTATTTTTTTTAAATTTTTTTTATGGATTTATATTAAAAAATATGTAAAATAAATTTAGGGTATGTGAGCTGAGGAAATAGTAGGTGATGGCATGGATAGCCTAGACTGGCCAGCCCAACAAAATAAGCAGCCCAACAAGGCCATCTAAATTCGGACGCGCTCGACCAAAGATCCCCTGCTCGGGTGAGCGGGCGGCCGGGACTTAAAGGAAACTAAGGCCCAAGGTGATGCGCTCCTACTCTGCCAGTTACATCCACTCGGACCCTGGAGCAGACCCGGTCAGCTGACTTCCAACGGCAGAGCCTGCGCACTCAACTTCTGTACTTAGCCTCTGCCGCCAGCAAAACACTGTGGGCCTACTGCGGGCGCCAGAGCCTATATTCCTTGTCTAATCAAATGGGCCCAGTGGGCCTAGCACACTAGGTCAAAGACCAACGGCTAGGAAACCCAAACATGGGAAAGTCATGGCCCCCAGTGGGCCTAGCACACTAGGTCAAAGACCAACGGCTAGGAAACCCAAACATGGGAAAATACATTGAACAAATATCCCTCCGATCCCCTGAAGGAGGAAAGACACACTCATATTTTTACTACCAAGCTAATATACTTACTCCACCATTGCAAACAAAAGACACTCGGCCCTTAGCTTGTTCGATACTCTTTCGTTGAATAGTCTCCTAGGTCCCGGGTTTTAAAACTCATTAGTAGGAAACCCGCGCATGTTTGAGGAAAGTTAAGAAGGTACAAAGCAAATGATTTGATATAAAACATGAGAGAGAGGAACCGGCGGCGGATCGAGAACGCATTTATGTGATCTTTTGATAAAGTAAACAAAGATAGGTGCGGGGGTTCCGTGTTCATTCAGTTTAATTCGAAAAGATCAAACTAGATAATTACATTGAAACAGAAGAAATATTTAATTATCACTGTCATTCTCCTAAATTCCACCTACCTCATTTAACATATACTCCCTCCGTCCGTAAATAAACTTCCGTTTTTGACTTTTTGAGAATTTAAAGGAGGGATATTTTGGTGTTGACTTTCCAAAAATACCCTTGATGTGATGTGTAAAAATAAGATGTGATATGTAGATTATTAGTAAAAAGGTATGATGTGATAGGTAGAGTATGAAAAAGTAAGGGGTAAAAAGGGGTTTTTAAGGGAAAAGAGAAGTTTATTTAGGGAAAGTCATTATGTTTTAGTGTTATTTACGTAATTTCTCCAACTTAAAATGTCTAAAATTCATCCTCATTCCGTAGTTTATTGCACATTAAACTCGATATTTTTATCATCAAATATTACATTAAATTTGTATAATACGTTATTACTTCCGTTCCAAAAAGATTTACACGTTTTGACTAAAGTTGAAATTAAGGGAGAGATAATTTTGTGTTGACTTTCCAAAAATACCCTTGATGTGATGGGTAAAAATAGGATGTGATGGGTGGATTATTAGAAAAAAGATATGATGTGATAGGTATAACTTGAAAAAGTAAGGGGTAAAAGTGGTTTTTTTAATAGAAATGAGTAAGAGATTGTGGGATGCAATTTTTTTGAAAGGTGTAAATCTTTTTGGGACGGAGGGAGTAATATATATAATTAAATAATTTTGATGCTTTAATTTTTAACAAGATAAAAATAATGAAATAATCAGTTTTGTATCATACTCATATTCAATATATCTAGTTTTTTTCCTCAAAAAATATATTTAATTTTTATTTAATTAATGATCACAATATGTCTAGTTTTGCGTAAACAGTCAAACTTTGACAAACATTGCAGTCTCATAAAAGTATGAAACATAGCAAACTACCCCTATATAAAAAGGATAATACTCCCTCCGTCCCAAAAAGAATAGGACGGTTTGACTTTTTGGGAAATTAAGGGAGGGATAGTTTGGTATTGACTTTCCAAAAAATACCCTTGATGTGATGGGTAAAAGTAGGATGTGATGGGTAGATTATTAGAAAAAAGGTATGAGGTAATAGGTAGGGTATGAAAAACTAAGGGGTAAAAGTGGTTTTTTAATAAAAATGTAACGGACTTTACGGGACGCAGTTTTTTCTAATAGTAACAAACTTTTTGGGACGGAGGGAGTATCAAATTGGCGGCCGGAGCTTAGGGAAAAGAGATAGGATAGAGAACAATCATCACTTTATTTCTTGCAGTATTTGAAAAAAAACACATACAGTACAACAAAAAATGATAGGATAGAGAACTTGATGGTGGGACGATGTCTAAACAAAAAATGGAAACATACAGTACAACAACATTGAAGTGTTCCAAAATCTAAATGAGCCTTTGACGTTTGTTATTATTATCAAGTTCATGATAATAATGAGCATCATAAGCAGCATCTTGTGGAGCAAACATTAAGTCTTGATGATATGACTCCGACCATATATCGCAGAAGTCTTCGAGTGGGTACGAGCAGTCGTCGTCGTATCTGATTGGTGACGTTGGGAACGGAGCCGATGACTCTACTTGAAGCCTTTCATCGCCAGACGCGAAATCGGAGAGCATCATATAGTCTTGGGCAATGCATGGCGACAACGTGTTTGTTGGATGCTGATGCTGAGCTTCACGATTATCGTTGAGTAGATAATGAAGATGATCATTTGGAGCATCATCATGTTCATGTTGATGATGATGAAGTGTAGGACTTGTGTTTGGAAGGGTGGGTTTGATCTCCTCTTGTTGGATCAAGAAGTTCATCATGGCTTCATCATTATATTGGCTTGATGATGATGAAGAAGATGATTGAGCAGCAGCATAAGCATTTGGAAGGAGGGATTTGTCCTCTTGATGATTATTCATCCCATCATCATTTTTGCCACTATCATCTTGAGGATGGTGTTGATGATGATCATTTGGAAGGAGGAGGAGGGGGGCTTCCTCTTGTTGATGAATGAATAAATTTATCATGCCTTCATTATCTTGATGCAGAATCAGTAAATTCATGCCTTCAATAAAATCTTCGTCATTATAATCTGGTACTTGTAGTGCAGCAAATGATGAGTTGTTGTTCATGTTGTTGTGATGGTATTCCTCCATCCCTTCATCACTATCTTGATTATGATGACTTTCTGCAGCAACAATGGTGATTGGAACAAGGGCTTTATCATTATCTTCTTGTTGATGATCTGCCGCAACAGCATTGTTATCTTGAAGAGGATCTTGCTGTAATACTTGTGGTGCGGGAATAGAAAAGTTGCTCTTCATCATGTTCTTGTGATATATCTTCACCAAAACATAGTCATCAGCCACCTGCTGCATTCATACATATGCACCCACACAATTCCAAACAAAATGTTAGCATGCATGCATGCAGATTTGGTACCACGTCTAGAAATATAGTACTCCGTACAATATTTAACAATATGAACTTTTACTTCACTAAAACTGTTCTTATTATTTTGAATTTTGCATGATTTATTTTTGCAATTTTACTTACCAATTAAATCATTAGCTTCCAAAAAAAGAGAGAAAACTCACGTAAATAATTTATTACATCAATGCAAAATGGATGAAATATATTTGAATGGTTTTATTTGGATATACTTCCTCGGTTTACAAAAATGGTTCCTATTTTGACTATGGGAGAATAAGGAGTGTATATTTATAGTTGGCTTTCCAATTTTGTCGTCCTTGATGCGATAGATAAAAACAAAATGTGATAGGTAGTCATTAGTGAAAAATATAATGTGATAAGTAGAGTTAAAAAGTTAGGTTAAAATTGGGTTTTTAATAATAAGTGGAAGTATTTTAGTAAAAGAGGAAAAATGAAAGATAAATGATTTTGGTAAACACGGGGAGTACTAGTTATTTCAATCAAAAAAATCAAAATTATTTTTAAATATTTTTATAGGAAAATTGATATGAAATAAAATAATAAATATTTTAAAATTTTATCAAAAGATCTACAAAAGTGAATATGATAATGTTCAAATTTTTTTATATGAAAATTGATATGATATAAAACAATAACTATTTTAAAATTTAATCCACAGATCTACAAAATTGAATATGATAATATTTATCAATTATTTTATCAAATAAGAATAAACAAAAATGATAAAGTTTGACCAAATAAATAGGAAACGAGGAAATTATTTTTAATGAAAAAAGTAACATGCCCAACAAATTAAAGGGTGAAATTATTGCTTACCCTTTTAGTGATAGGGGTCGGAAGAGAATTATAATTCAACGTATATTCTTGCATCAGCCAGTCGGTTTTCACACTATCCGTCCCCGGTCCTTGGTGGTACACAAGCGACCTCTTCCAACCCACGGTGGTGTCCCCCACCACCACCGCCTGATCGCCGGTGGTCGACTTCCAGAATCCCTTTCCGGCGGTCCTGGTTGTTCTTGTCCCCTTAGGGTACTTCTTCTTCCTCGTCGTGAAGAAATAGCACGCATTCTCTCTTTCCGTCGCCCCGTACATCTCTGCATGGCTGAATTAATATAATTATATACGTAAATTTCTCATTAAAGAAAAAGAAATGGAAAAGAAAAAAGCAAGAAGATAATTAATACTCCCTCCGTTCCTTTAAACCCTTCCACTTTTGACTTTTGGCAAAAATAAGGAAAGTGTAATTTTTGTTGACACTCCAATTTCGTTCCTGATGTGATGGGTAAAAGTAAGATATGATAGTTTGGTTATTAGAGAAAAAATATGATGTGATAGGTGGGGTATGAAAAAGTAAGGGTAAAAGTAGTTTTTTAATAGAAAGTGGAAGTGTTTTAGGGAATTCAAAAAAAACGAAAGAGAAAGAGTTTTGTGGAACGGATGGATGGAGTAAAGGGGTGAAAATCGTAGATTTTGAAGGTTCGAATCCTATTGAGAGGCATGGGTACATCAAGAATCTTGTTTCTCAGGTAATCCACCACCAGCTCCCCGTCAGTCGGCCGGAACCGGTAGCCGGACGGCAGTTCGCTCAAGTACTTCTCCACCTCCGGGTCGGTGGTCCACGGTGCCTCCGCCGGCGGCGCCGCCATGATTGATTAGCTACGGGAATTAATTAATTATTTCGATCGGGTGAGTTTTGTTGATTGCTCTACTACGGAAATTAATTTCTGGACTGGTACTCACTATTTCAGGAGAGTATTTATAGAGAAAGAAAGATAGGGCAATTCCTTACGGGAATGGACGAATCACGTCTTGCCACGTGTACACGCTAGTTAGTTAGGGCTTCAATCTTATTATTACAACTTCTACTGTAGGTAGGGTTGCGTTTAATCATATTGCAACAAAAAAAATTAAATCATTCAATTCCTTGCACATCACGATATTCGGTCTTCTTGAATTGTTCGATTTATTTATTTATTATAAATAAAATAATCGTTATAATATTTTTTGAAATATAGCAACGTATACTAAATATGTTTTCGTTGTGCGAGATTGAATAAAATTCCGTACCAAGCATTAAATTTAAGTATTTTGTTTTTTATTTTTAAAAAATATTGAGCCACGAAATGTGCCGATTTAATTTTTCTAATTTTTTCTAATTCAGCCATTCTTTCGTGATCCTAAGGTCGACTTATGAAATGTAAAATTTCTCGCATTTTTCATGGACTGGAAGGTAAATATTCAATATTTACATTTTACGAGTTTTGACATACGTGCATTAATATTTTTTTTACAAATGCACTATATTATAAGAAATAATGTAAGTTAAATTATTCAAAATCAATCTATGTTAATTTAAATTATGAATATTTGAATTCGTATTTGTCAAAGTTAAAGAAATATGAATTTCATTAATCAAGTAGCTATGTAGATGAAACTATGGTCTTTGATGACATTATGGTGGTAGATGTCGATGACAATTGACAATGCAGTAGTTCGCTAATAGAATCATAGAAGTGTGGCTTAGATGATAGTATTCTGGCATGTGCCAATTGAATTACAGTGAGCCGTGCACTACCTCCCGCCAATACAGAGCGACGGAATGCTGGTTCCGTCGTTAAATTTGGTAGGCGTACAATTTTGTCGATGAATCCGTCGTCGTTAGCGTCGGATTGAATTCCGTCGCTATAATCCGTCGTTTTTATGGCGTTTTCTTGTAATGTGTAGCCTTAGATGGCAATGCGACATTCGTTGGCGATGGCAGTCTTCCGCCGCTATACTATATCCCTATTGGATCTACTGTGCCGTTACATTGGCTTTGTTTGGTAACAGCGTTTTCGATTAGCGTTAGCATTTTGGATAAAATTTTAATGGTGCAGATTAATTCTAAAAACGCTAACGCTAAAGGTTACTGTCGGATAGCTTTTTCAAAACGCTAACGCTAATCTCCGACGCTAATGCCAAACGGGGCCATTGTATCATTCCTTGAATTCTTTTTTTAAATTTTAACCCGACAACAAACATCGTGGACATTGTTCTTTTTTTTATGGAAAGAGTAGTTTTCAAATTGTAAAGAGTTTTTTTTGGGTCGGAGAGAGTTACTATCAACCAACTTATTTAAATTTTGGTAGAAAATTTAAAAAATAAAACTTGTATTTTTAAAAATTATACCAAAAGATTTTTTTAGGTCGTAGAGAATATTATTATCTACCAACTTATTTAAATATTGGTAGAAAATTTAAAAAATAAAATTTATATTTTTAAACAAGATTTACAAAATGAATAATGACATACAACTCTATATACTACGTATTATTTTGTCAAATACTAGATAAAAATATGTATAAAAAATGTAGAGAATATAGTTTAGCTGCATGAATAGTACGTAACAGTGAAGAATCGAATGACGAAAAGAGTATCAGTTAATATTTGCTCGAGTGGGGGGAAATAACATATACTCCCTTCGTCCCTAAATAAAGTTCCTCTTTCGTTTTTTCTTTGTCCCTAAATAAACTTATCTTTTTCCTTAAAAAACCCTTTTTACCCCTTACTTTTTCATACCCTACCTATCACATCATACCTTTTTACTAATAATCTACTTATCACATCTTACTTTTACACATCACATCAAGGATATTTTTGGAAAGTCAACACAAAAATATCCCTCCCTTAAATCCTCAAAAAGTCAAAAATGGAACTTTATTTAGGGACGGAGGGAGTATTTAGGTACACCGTATTAATTTGTATAGTTGAATTCAAATATTCTCCATCCGTCCCAAAAAGATTTACACGTTTCAAAAAAAATTTGTCCCACAATCCCTGACCCATTTCTATTAAAAAACCACTTTTACCCCTTACTTTTTCAAATCCTACCTATCACATCATACCTTTTTCCTAATAATCTACACGTCACATCCTACTTTTACCCATTACATCAAGGGTATTTTTGGAAAGTCAACAAAAAATTATCCCTTCCTTAATTTCAACTTTAATCAAAATCGGTAACACTTTATGGGACGGAGAGAGTATTCGTTAGTGTACTGAATTGAGTAAACATATTCGTATTCTTTTAACTACCGAATACTAAAAATTATTTATATCTGTATTTGTTTTTGTAAATACGAATCGTTGTATTATATTCAGATACGAATCACAAATCGAACCAAAGTTATTTGCTTCGTTCACAATCTTACTCCCGAGCCTACTAGAATACACATAAATGGGGCTAAACCCAATGTGTCAATCCATTGTATATTGAAATGGGAGCCCAACGAGTGGATTGGATGTCCAGAGAGGACCAGAGCCCGCTCCCACTGGTATGGTGACGGGTAGAATAAAGCCTACATATTCACGGAGTTATATCGGCCCAAAGTACGGTTCGCCATTACCGCGCCAAATTTCAAAGCCTTCGGATCTCGGAAGCTAACAATGGGAGAAGAGCAAGGGTTCCCAGACAGGGACGAACTCGACGCTGCAGAAGCTCTTCTCCTCCTGTGCTTCACGCCGCCGTCTCCTTCTCTTCCGAGGTAAAAATTCAAATCCGCTCTCTGATTTCACTCGATAGCTTCCTTCATTACTGGAATTTGTTGACGCGATTCGCTTTCCTGTTGCGTTTTCTAAAGCGAGAGCAAACGCGAGAGCTCCTTTCCGTCGGTCGATTTGAAGTCTGGATCGGTTTCCATCTCGGAGTGGAATTCAATTTCAAATTCGAAATCGTGTGCTTCTATTTCCTCCGATGTGACCTGGGATGGCGGTCGCACATTTCTGGAGGCTCAATCGCATCCATGTCAGAAGAGGCTTGAGGTGGAGTTTATCTTGTTTCGGAAATTTCTGTTGGATCTCCGATTGGTTTATTTCATTCAGTTTCGGACAATAGATTCATAGAATGTGGAATGCGAAGATAAACTTGAAACATGAAATTTACTGGATTTTGATTGTTTTTTTAACAGTGTTTTAAAGTTCGATTCATAACAGATAATCATTCTCTGGTATTATACGAGTAATTGTATTCTAGAAATATATTCTGATTATGATTCTCTCCACTTTTTCTCTGATTGTTGAATTTCGTGTTCTGCAAAATCACAGCGCTATGGTTAATTTGATCAGGATGAAGGATTTCAAAATGCTTATGTGATTTGTTATCTGTTGAATTTCGAAAACTCTGCAGGCAATTTTAAGAGTTGATTTACTGGTTCATCGTGCTCTATTCTCCGAAATATGTGTGATGATTAGGTTCCAAATTTTCTGCATCTGAGAAGTTTTTCTACTCATTTCTGAATGGCTGGTTTGCAATTGTGAAGGTGGTTAGGAAGAAGAGGTCACAGAGCTTATGCATTTCGAATGGCCAGAAAAGGCGAATTGAGAAGGAGATGTCACTAGTGACTATGATGCCCTCTGCATCTTCTTCTTGCCTGTCAAATGAATCTGCTGCATCCAACACCATTTCCAGCGCAGGGAGCCACCATGGCAGCACCAGAACAACGGGGAGGTGGGAGATGGCAAAACCAGCAGCCGAAGTTTATAAACATGAGGAGAAGAAGAAGAAGAAGCCACTGGGGTCGATACGACGCCGTGCAGTGGCCATCCTAAACATATTGTCTTATGGCTCTGCTTCTGAAGTCAGGATCCGCCAACTGCTTGGTGATAGCCCTGACACCAGCAAAGCCTTGAGAATGTAGTCATCTTCTCCATCCCTCACAAACTTCTCTATTCACTTCAATTCTTTGAGTTTTATGAATTGTAAATTGCTGTTTCTGACCCAACCAAAACATATGTAGGTTGCTGAAGTGGGAAGAAGTGAAGAGATCTGGGGCAGGAGGGCAAAGAGACCCATTTATTTACACGGTAATTTCTACAAGCCTCCAAATACTATGTGTTTTATATACTTGGAACATCCAAATAGTCAAATAGGGAGTTCTTCCTATTAGGAAAAGTTAGAATATCTCATTTTTTCGTTTATTCCTTCGCTCACAAAAGTTTTTTCGTTTTCCTTTTTTATTCATCTTAAAATAATTTATTCACTTTTTTTCTTTTTCTTTTCTTGAAAAAGATTTAGTGTGGTAAAAAAATATATTTCTATAGCTTCTAAAACATTTGGGACAGGAGTATACTTTGAACATGTAACTTTTAGTAAGATACTGTATGTAATAATAATGGACTTTTACTTTTTATCTAAGATTGCTTCTATTTTCCACACTAATTAAACATTATGGATTATAGTCTATACCGAGACAATATATTAGGCTAAATGTCTGAATCCGCTAAAATTATCCAAAGAAAATAAATCAAATTCAACCAAGTAAATAATCCAGAGGCTATTTCTTCGGTTTATTGTGACTTTTTTAGCTTATAAGAAGAAAAAAATCACTTGTGGGCTTGTGCTATTACCAAATGACCTCTTATTGTGTCTTTATTATGTTTCCACAAATCCATAAATATCCCCATAACATTCACTCTAAAGCACTCAATTTGAAATGTACCTATTATAACTGCTCTGGTCCTTACTGCTATTTTCTTTTTGGGTGCAGATAGGATAAGAATTAAAGGCAGATCAGCACACAGAGTTTCCAAATAAAGAATCTCCAGAAAAGGAAACTTTTAAATTGTTTAATTTCATACATGGCTGTAAAGTGGAATAGTGAATGGACCAGTTATTGTGCTCCTTAATAGATGCATATAAAGTATATATCAAGTGGAAATCTCCAAAGCATTACTGGCTGAAACTAGAGATAAATACTTAGAATTTCATGTCCCCATGGTATCCATGAAACGAAGGATGGACAGGGCGAGATCTCCTGAAGCTGAAAACATCCTCGATTCGGACAAAGTCGGGCCCCGCTGGCTCGGTTTTCTCGGCTTTGTACTCTGAGGAATGAGAGCTTCCATACACTCGCACGCTCAACGCCTTCCTCTTAGGGGAATCGACACTTACGTACTCGTCAAAGAAACCGATCAAGTCCGTTTTGGTCACTTGTTTCAGTGCTTCAACCTGTATTCATAAGATGATAGAAACCCCTAAGGACTACAATGTTATATTAATTCAGCTCCAACGACTATGATGTACTGTTCTATCAAGCAAAACTGTTTTTAAAGTAATTTGTCAATTTAGAAACAAGTTATACATGAGAAATTTAGTTCGAGAAAAAAAATCTTTAAAAAGTGGTATGTTGGTCAAACACAACTTTTTTTTGGGTTGTCTAGTAATACTATATTTCTAGAGTTAAATTTTTCAGTCAAAGTAAACAAAGTTTGATCATTAATAAAATTAAAATTGTACTCTGTATTACATATTATTATAATGAAATAATATTTTGAAAGTTTTTTTGCATAAAAACATATGAAATCATTTTTTAAATTATTATGCAATGCAATTTTGATTTAGTTGATGATTCAGTTTGACTAAAAAAAGGTTAACTGTTCAAATACACTAGAATGAATAGAGTGCTATCCTTATACGGAGTATATAAATGACTCTTCACGGTTAAGAATCGATTTGATTTTTCAATTACCGGGGCCAAAGAGATTAGGGTAAACAATGAGGGAGTTTCATAAGGAGCGAAAGGTAATTCAATGAAGTAAAAACCAGCCTGAAAGTAAGAACAGAGTTTCATACCTCCATTGGTATTCTATTGAATTTATAAGTGCCACCAGATATTTCCCACCAGTAAAAATTAGTCTCCTCCCATAAATTCTTGAACTTCTCAAGCTTCACATCAATAAGTGCATTGACTTTTTTCTGCATTATACACAACAATTTCAAATCCCAGCCAATGAAAATTTTTATAGAGCAGATGTTTTTCCCATTATGGCAAATGCATCACGCCTCGCACATCAAGATCCGTGGTGTGAACATCGGTTTTACAGTTTCAACCTTATAACTTGAACCGACCAAAAAATATGGCCAAAAGTGACCGAATTCAAAATGGCCCACAAAATCGATCATATCCAATTATCCGACCGAACTCCTATGCAATTGAACCATTGAGGTGGGATCTTTTTTCCAAATGATGCACTTTATTATGAAATATGAAGTGATAAAATTTATCATATCATACTTCCTCTATGGCTCTCCCAAAATAAGTTTTTGCATTTGACTAGACAAGATTATTAAGAGGTGAAACTCTACAATTGAGGCTTATACATAGAGACAAATAATATGAACCACACATTTTTTTCGTAAAAACTAAAGTGAAACCTTCTTTTGGTATAAACCAAAAAAGTGTACAATTTTTTTTCAAGGGGAGTAATATTTTCTACAAACTAGTACTTTCTTTTCTAATGCTTCTTAATATTTAATACTCCCTTTGTCTCAAAAAGTTCTTTATGTTTCAGTAGGCATGGACACGGTACCGGTCTGATTTTGGTTTCCAACGACTCTGATACCCGAGAGGGCAGAACCTTAATCCAAACCAGGTAGGGGCAGTACGGTTCCCGTTCTGGGTGGGCAGTACGGAACTGGTTATGGGTTTTTTTTGGAAATATGTTATACTCCCTCCGTCCCATTAGATTGTTAAATAAAGGAGTTTATGGAGGAGCATAGTAACTTTTGATCTGACAAAAAAGTTAAAAGAAATAGTGATAGAGAAGTAATAGTCTGGGTATAAAGTAGAAGGTAAAAAGGGGGTGGTTTAAATTTGAGGATGGGGTGTTAGTTTGATGTGATATGAAGTAGAATAAAGGAAATGTACACTTTCTAATGGGACAAACAAAAAAGAAAAGTGTTAAAATTGTGAAAGAACATTAAATGGACTTAGAATAGCTTATTAGATAATTTAATACTCCGTAAGTTACGACTATACATTTTCTATGAAAAACACGAGTGCTAACATGAATGTAATTATCTTAAACATAAATGCTTCGAATCTAGTGGGTCAACCGGAACCTGAGCACTAGGTCATGAACAATATTATCCGTGACCCAAATTCAAAATGAACCAAACCCAAAAGCACCAAACAGAATCGGATTCGACCAACGTGTTTGACAACCCTACTTATAACAGAACATGACCATATGTAGAAGCAATGCAATACAGTATCAAGCAGAAGTACAGGGTATCAGTAAGCCAACCTTAAATTCATCTTCAGACATGTATAACAGCTTACTCTTGAGCATGATGACAAACGCCCTAACTCGGGACTCAACATATCCCGGGTCCTGCCAATGCCATTACATCTTTAGATTAAAACACATCCAAAGCAATTGTCGCCAAGGTTGGATAAAAGAAATGTTAACAAGCTGTTCTTTTCCTAAAAACATGTATTTTTAGGAGTGCATACAGTTCTCCTTAAAAATGTATCATTTCAAAACTCGTGCAATAGGCGCTAGGAAAGCTTCCAACCCACTTACTAACAAGAAAAAAGCATCTTACTTAGACAGGATCTCTTCTATAAGTCGCACCTCTAAATCTTTTATTCTAAGGAAAAAGCTGGGCAGGATGTGAGAGGACCGGTTCTATCATCAGGCTGTTTTTTTCTGCTCTTTTCTTTTTTTAGGCGTTGATCATGTGTTGTTGGCTCAAGTTCAAGGTGGTCGGGAGAGAGCTCACTAATCTCCTCCAAAGAAAGGACTGCCTGAAAAACATTTTTTTGTCATTCAAGGATCGTATTTCCGGTGGTCTTGAAGAGTCGGAGAACACCCACATGACTTCGAATGTGAATATTCACTTGGTTCCAACAACTCGCCTCAAACTTGTAGAGGAAGACATTGAGAGCATGAGAAACTTCTTAAAGGCTTGTTATTGTGATTTGTTTTTCACTTGTGTGTTTGCAGTCATGCATGTGTGTTTGTAGATGGTCATCCCCTTCACTGAAGAGTAACTCCACCTCCCTCCTCCTATGCGACTTTTTTAGAACACTCTTTTGTTAGTTGTTGAGGTTTGCTTAGTGTTTTTTTAAACCTTTAGAACAAATATTTAAAATTAATTTATTTAGTCTGAACCATTTTTTAAAGTTTCCCCTACATTGTCTTTCCTTCCAAATTCCTACTTTATCCTCCTCCCAATTTTATTTCCTTCGAATTTTCTGAGGTTTAAACAAACCACAAACCAAAATGATATCCAGAAATGTGTCGACTCCAAATTAAACCTAATGTGATTATCAGATACTATATACCATCATGTTGCAAAAAAAGAAAAGCTAAAGGGTTAGAAGAAAGACAATTTTATATGGAAAGTACCTTAGCCGATGATTGAACAATAAATTGCAATCCGCGAACTCCAAAATCAAACCTACAATGAAGAAAGTTTAGCTTATTGGGAAACTAAGCAAAAGAAATTTCTGATATAAATTCAACAAATTTCACTGAATGGAAAAAGCTAAAGGGAGAGAAAAGTCTTCCACATACCTCCGAGAAAGTGAAGTAATGTAACCAAGCTGTTCAACAGATCTCAATTGGTCAAAGGCCGGTTGTTGTGCTATCATTACAAAAAGCTGGAGTTTCACATTCAGCTCAAACTCATCAAGACCAATCTACAATTTAGAAAAATGATTATGTGATTTTTATTATGCACAAGTTAAGAGGGTCACTCTTTACAAAGACTCAAAGAGCTTATAAGCATTATGAATCCAATCTTATTTAGATTACAACTTCATTGATGAAATGTTGCCTGCAGTTAAGCAAATAGGTTTCCGTACTTTAGCACCACGATGCTATTATTGGGAAGGATAAAAAGGACCAGGTTAGGTTAGGTTGTTTCTTGTTCCATAAAAATATGAGGAGTTGTTAACTAGTTTCTCCCAAGTGTTGGGGCTTAGCACCACTACTAATACTAACACGGCCTAACGCCGAGATTTTGGGGAAAGGGTTAGTTTCTCCCCCTGCCAACTGTTTGGAAATTACTCTTCGTTGGTCTTAGCATGGTAAGATTTTTTTTTTTTAAAAACAAAAGTTAGTTCAATCATTGGGTTTAGACCCTTGCTGTACAATACTACAGTTGAAACCTGAATGTATTGTGTGTTTCGATCACCGAAGTACACTAAAAAGAAAACTCAAGATTGAGAATTCATATTTATTTCTCCAACTAATTTTGTACTTCGTAGCACGTACCTGAATATAATGTAAGAATGCAGAATTCTCATCACTTGGATTTAGTCCTTCTGTAGCATACAAATATGGTGTGCCTTGTCCCAACTCAATGACTCGGCTTGTTAAATGCTCAGACGCGAATAAAGCCCGAGAGATAGGATGTGGGCCCTTGTAAAGTAAATCTTCAATACGTTGGATCATTGATTCTGCTTCCTTTGACTCCATGTTTCCTGAATGAAAAATGGTGAAAAAGTGAAGCAATACAGCCAAAAGTGTTAGATGCACCCATGTAAAAGTTACTAGTAATTGGAAAACCTGTTGCGTAGCATTCCAGAAAAGTTCTTGAGAGCAGCAAAGGGTAAAATCTGGCAAGACTATCAACATCAAGAGAAGGAAGTACTTCCAGTTCATGATTCCAAGACCATGTTTTCTCTTCAAGTGTCAACGAGCAGTAGTACATTGCTTGCTCATATGGCTGTTCGCACTTGATGTTTTTGTATTCTAGGGTCACCAATTCCTAGTGGCATAAAATTGAGCAGAATTTAAGCATAAAAAACATATCGATTTGCATGGCATGGGTTTCAGTCTTCACTCTTTATTTCCTCTGTATTTTTATAGATGTCTTATTTGTTTACCATTTTGTGTCAAATAGTTATACTGTAACTCCTTAGGACAAGTTTAGAGATGACAACCTACCAGGCTTGGAGGGATAAAGTTCATCGTTTTCTTGACATATAGGAAAGAAAAAAAAAAAAAAATGTCAACCCACAAAAGATGAATTTGGGGTGTGATGGATATATTGGGTTGGACAACTGTGCCTATTGGAAAGGGGGCTTTAAAAGGGAGAAGGTTACTTGGAGGGGAATTCTAGCTGAATGGGCCTGGTCGGCCAATGCTCTCGGCCACACAACCTCAGGGCTTGGTCACCTAAAACCAGGTTGGGCCACCTGTGTTAGGCTTGGCCCAACACCCTGTATGTGACATCATATGATGATGTAGCTAGGTCTATTTGTACGGAAATGTAAATGTATAATCCTCATTCAAAAAGGGGGAGGGACACACTCTGAGTTTGGGAAACCCTAATCTCGTTCTTCAGTTTTACATTGATTCATTGTTTTAGTCCAAGGCTACCCTGTAACGACCCAAAAACCGGCTTAGTAGTTAGCCGTAATTTTAATAAAAAAATAAATATAATATTTATTTACTCTAAAATATGGATTATTGGTAAAGTTATCCGTTTTAAATGAAAATTGGGTTTTCGGATAGATCCCATAAAATGGTGACTAACGGTATATAATTTGTTAAATTTGGACTTACGTGTAGAACGTGGTGAGTAAAATAGAAGTTACAGTTCAATAAATAAATATAAATATTTATAATTATAAAATAGTAATATAAACTATTATTCCTAAACCTACCCGCAACCCAAATCCCAAACTCATTCCAAATTAGAAAAGGACTCCCTATCCTATATATATACACGCACGCCACACAAAAAGAACGTAACAGACCCTACGCCGAAGAGAGAAAAGAGAAGGGAGCAGAGCTGCTGCCCGAACGCCGGGAAAAAGGTTGTCGCTGCCGCCACTCCAGCGTTGCTGCTCCGCCGTCACCGGGAAGCTGACCGACGTCGCTGCTTCGCCGTCACCGGAAAACAGCCCCGCCACTGTTCGCTTGGTCATTGGTTCAATTCGTCAATTTGTTTTAATTCGTCAATTAATCGAGGTCAGAACTTGCACATCTAACGCTAGATTATGTATATAGATTTGAAATTCACGTTCGTAGTTTCGTATGATTGATTACGTGGTTTATTTGTT